TTGGAAATGATCATGCAGACAATGGACCCCGGACTAGGTGCGTTCCAATAAGTCTTCCTACCAATATGGCTATGTTGCGAAAACAAGTTCAAACAACCCCTATACAACGAAAGGAGACTGCGACCACACAAAAGGCCACACCATCTTGGTCTTCATACCTTCGAAAGAAGGAATAGCCTTTACAATAATTAAGTAAGCAGGTTTCATATGTATTCTAGCACATTTAAAATTGTTGTAGGCTAGCATTTTGGGTTAATTTAGTTTGATAATCGTCTTTCTATCCGTAAAATATCCATTCAGAGGGATTGGAAAGTAGTACAGTGAATAAAATCAAGCATAATTTTATAATAGTAACTCAAATGTAAGATTATTTAGGACCTCGAAGGCCAGAGTTCCAATCCCTTGTTACGAAATGTTTCATTTTATAAATTAATATGCTCACAAAATACATTGAATACATATTTAAAAAATATCGTAAATAAATCTTGGCACTTCAACCTTCTATGTTAATGTAAACTTTACAGTATTCATGGTGGATTTTGCAACTTAGTGAGGAAATATTGTTCATACGAGACTTGCAAGATAGTATGGAAGGCCAATATTCAGAAATTAGGGTAGACATATGATAGAGAAATAAAGTATGTAACCTCCTAGATATAAATTCTAAACTCGGACGAGATCTAGGCATGAATCTCGTTCCATAGAAGTTATTGAAATTTTAGATGATGACAGATAAAATGTGGAAAAAAATCTTAGACTTGCAGAGGCGCCAGAAGCTGTTTAAATAGAGGAATAACAGGCAGTCTATGATGAAATTGATCCGTACAAAAGAAGTTACGAGAATGATAAATGTTACTGATAGAATAAAGAACGCGGAGTTTCGGCTACTCTCGATTTCGAAATCATGGCTATCAGAAGGGAAGCATTAAAGCCTTTCTATTAGAAAGAAAGAACTATGATGGAAGATATCTGAACTTATAATAAAATGCTCTAATAAACTGCCATAAGTAACAGATAAAGATAGATAGAAAGTAAATTGAAGCTTATTGTGGCATCTATGGCCTAAGAACAAGAGAGGCCTAGAGAGGATAAGTAAAACATTGAGACGAGCGATCAAATAGTTTTAAGTAGACTAAGGGATCGATAAAAGTGATGGAGAAAAAGAAATATAGAGAAAATGGAAATTAGGCTTAGGTACAGAACAACTTGATTAGGGTTAACAAAGGACTATACAAAAAAAAGATGGAGAACTGCAGATGCTAAAAGAAAAGTATGAACGGGGAAATCGACTTTTAGAAAATTAATTTACTCTTACCAAAGGATGCAAGAACATCGACACCATACGAGTTGCTGAATATGCACAAAGAAGGGTAACCCCTAAAGCATAAAAGCTGGAAAAGTTCAGCTATTGTTG